ATCTAAAGTTCGATTGGCAAGGCGACGAAATTTAGCAACATAATCATGGAGGCTATTTGCCTAAGTTTGAACAAAGATTCAATGCAATCCTCGAAATATGTTGGTCCAAATTCTTGGCACAGAGCGGTGGTGAACGCAGCCTAAATTGGTGTGGAATTGATGCAATCACGCCAACGGAACCATTGCAGCGGCTCACTTTCGAAGTGAAAATAAGCAGTCATAACTTTCTGGTGATCTGGGGTGTGATAGTAAGCAAAGTATTGCTCAGCCTTATAGATCCAAGCTGAAGGATCTTCACCATCTGTGAAACGGGGAAAATCCAAACAATGAGGCCACCGAGGACGAGGAGCGAAACCGCCGTCGTCGAAGGAATCGCGTCATTGGAAACGCGAAGTCTCAAGATAACGGAAATCACCGTCGTCAGTCGCGAACAAGGCAAGATTCTAGGGCTCAGGACCTGGAGGAGGTTGAGCAGTAGAGGACCGAACGCCGCCTGGAACCCCAGGGTCGCGATGGAGATACTCCAAGAGAAGGGTGAATTTTATCTCCAAGGAGGTGAATCTGGCGTCTGAAACGGCTTGGATCTGCTGAGGAAGGGCCTCCAAAACAGTTTCCACAGCTGAGAGGCATGATTCCAGTGTAGACATTCGAGAATTGGTGGTGTGGTGAGGCATACAAGAGGGAGACTCAGGATCGAGAAGATGGTACCAATGTTAAGTTCAGTCCCAATTCCTTATTTCAACATGCAAGTAGCAGGTGATAATGGCGGTGGGATGTAGGGAAAGAGACAGAGAAAGAGAGAATATTTTTTTGATATATTGTTTTTTTATCTGAATCCACATTACAACGCTTCTTCCACTACTGAGGAATATATTCCAATCTCACACAACAATTGCCAGCTGGCCATTCACTAATTAACTAATTAAACCCAATAAAACGACTTAAGTAACACTTAACAGACTTATCATTGTGATTAAGTAATACAGAGCCCTAACAATCAGCCATGGGGTTTCCCATCTTGTCCTTCCCCCTCGCCTCACTTTCCTCAGCTAATTTAAGTTTTGAAGCTTTATCCCCACTGGGATTGGTCCCCAATTCACCAAACCCAACCCCCAAATTTTGTCGAATCCAACCAAACCCCTAAATTCGATCCATGTCTCAAATTGTTAGTCCACCTGCGCTCTCTGCCTGAACCACCGCCACCAAATTCATCAGTCGAAGTTTGGGTGTTCACCACTTTGTGCTCTTTCCCTGAAGCACAGGCCCCAGATTCTGCATCGACGACAACCCCTGCTGTAGTCTGCCTAAACCACCACCGCGACCTGCAACAATCATGCCGCCACCAAATTCGTCGTCGACCTATGTCTGACCTCTATACCACAATCCAGTCATCACCTCGTCGTGGTGGGCAAAGTAGTTGTTGGAAATCGTGATTCCATTGGACCTTGAATTTGCGAGCACTGAGTCGGAAAATGTCGTCGCCATCCGATTTGCAGCGCCAGTTGACGTGGGTGGGGTTGGAAGCGATGTTGGTGTCACCTGCAAGCTTGCAGTGGTGGACGAAGATGTTGAAGACGTACTGGAGGGGATGGATGATGGGGGTTGGGGCTTTGCATTTGCAGCGTTGGGGTGGAAAGCGGTTGTGGAAGATCTAGGGTTGTTTTTCTTTCTCTATTTAAGTTTTTAGTTATAAAAAAAATATTTAAAAAAAAAACTATTAATTAAATATTTTATATTAGTTGTTTGGCCACGTGGCTCTAGTTTGACAATCATGTCAACACAAATGTGGAATTTATTGTTGCCGCATCAGCACTTAACTGTTAACATAACAGATTTTCTAACGGTTGTATGAAATTAAAATAATATATATAACTAAATGTATGAGATTGAAATATTTAAAATTTGTTGTATAAGTTTACAATTACACACAAACTTGAAGGGGTAAAATATAATTTACCCATACAAGTATGTACAAGAGGTAGATACTACAAAAAGAGACTCTGAAGGGAAGGAAACAAAACAGATTGTTGGGGCTTTCAACCGGGGGTTCAGTGAATTGCATGCTGTCGTAACTGCAGAAGAAGACCCAAACCCATTTAAATTGGGACCAATAAGTGGATGGCTACTCCTGAGGGTAGGAGAGGCGTAAGAAATGTATTTGCAAGTGATGGTAGTAGCCAAGAGGAGTTGGAATGGTGAGTTCCAAGGAGACTAGTCCAGAGGCGTCTCCACGGTCGTTGTGAAACTCATGTTGGAATTCTCACTGCATGATTAATCGAAACAAAATAGGTTCCATTGAGAGAAAAAAAAAAAAAAAAATCGATGTAGACGATACACATATTTGTAGCAAAAGTTAGCTAAGCATGCACTTTATGCATGCAGTTGAGCCAAAAGGAGTGAGTCATCGAGTGTTCTGCAAGGATCTGCAACATCAAAAATCAATGTTAACTCTTCTAGTAACAATTCCCAACAAGCTCTTAGAGTATCTTGAATTAGAAAATCACATGAAAATACTTTTTGGAAGAAAATCACTTTAAATACTTCTCCAGTAGTAATTGAGTTTTTATTAAAAACATTACGTGTTTCTAACAAACATGTTTGCATGCAAAAAAAACTCTCTAAAAAAGCATTAATTTCTAAAAAGAAAAAAAAAAATCAGCTGTGCTTTGGGAGTGACTAGTCATCTCAAAGTATAAAATGCCAACTCATCACAATTCAATAATAACTTGCCAAGTACATAAAGCGCATTTATCCAACAGAGTCATAATTAAACTGAACTCAAATCTTAAGTCACTAACAAATTACCCCACGATGGTCCTGCAACATATACATAACAACCAATTTCACACAACCAACGACAAATACAATTCTCACTCATCAATTTAAACAAATAGATGTGAGAATCCGCTTAAGACTCCTCACCGATAAACACGAAATAAATCGTACACTCTAATATGGTGTGTATGCATGATCTCTGTGAAGACCTAGAATTTTAATTCATTACATATGTATTTTTTATCTCTCTCAAATAGTAACGTAATTTCGGCCCAATTTTATTAAATTAGATTAATATTGTTTTTTTTTTCAGCCCAAACAAAAGAGAGAGATCTAGAAGCCACTCTCTAGCTAAACCTACAAACCAACAAAGAGAATTATTTCTTCTTATCATTTCCTTTCCTTATTCATTTTGTAATTACCTTTTACTGTATGCCTAGTGACATTATAGTATACTGATTATTGAAGACTATCTAACTAGGAGGTGGACGGTTTTTAGGAAACGGTGAAAATCTTAAGCAGGAGGTGGGGGGAGCTAGGGCTGTGGAGTCTATGGCTGAAGTTGGCAGTTATGTGAACTTTTGGATTCTGAATGGGGCAGCTAACTAATCTCAGCTATAAAGCAGGTGGGCAGCTAAATAATGTTTGTATTCTTTAATTTGATCTGAAGAAAAACCCTTGAGTACCTATTTCATGTTCCTATCGTCCTTTTTGAAGCTCTGAAAAGGCAAAAGAATTTAAGTTGCATAGTGTTCATAATTTTCTTGGTGCAGATTTCAATACTGTCAGTTTCGTAGTCCCTTCTTTCTTCCTTGTTTTCTTACATTAAAAAGCTTGATTGAAGAGGGGGCATAAGCTTTAAATCGAGTATTTACACAAATTTTCATTTATATTTGATGGTTTAAAACCATGTTCAAAAAGGTCCCTTTGAACCTGTGTAAAACTCTGGTGCAGATTTTTCTGCAAATACTTTCTATTTCAACTCGTGATTTCTCTCCCTCCATATCTCAAATTTTAACAAATTTTATATCGTTGGAAAGATTATTCTTCAAGATTTCCAATTATAATTTCATACATTTTCGTTGAGTTTTGATTTGTGAAAAAAGTTGTTCATAGATATTCTGTCTGCAAAACTGGAAAACATATAAGTTTTTCTGCATTGTTTTTGGTAGGGACGATGAACAGTGATTTTATATTATAGTATTCTATATTTGCTTTATTTGTCATTTCTTTTTACTCCGACATTCAGCTATAGACTTGAGGGTGCCTAAGAGCACGAGAAAAACTAAGGAAAGAAATATTAGCTTGCTTGGAGTCGAGGTAGGGGATTTAGGGATTAATATTTGAATAGAACTCTATAAGTTAATCATTCACTTATATCTAATCATGTACTTGTATTGATAAGGTTTATATGTTTCTGTTTCTGTTTCTATTATTGATTGAGTGATATGCTTACACAGATACTGCGAGTCTTGAATTTGATATCCTTGATCAATATCGTTGTGATGATTTATGGTTAATAAACTATTGGCATATGATTGGTATATGATGCTTCTAAATATGAACACATTGCATTTCATTATATATTAGGGGTGAAGGAGTTTGTGATTGCATATGAGGCTTGGGTTATGGGTTGGAAACATCTTATGTGGGGTTGAATCCAAATCTGATTCTCCTTTCCTAACAGCTTTTTGATAACCTTTCATGAGCAGAATTTGGCCTAGTGTAAGGGCAAATAGAACGTTTTTACCTTCTGTATGTGGGTGTACTTTTTCTCACCACCCTCAAGTGGTGTGCAATGCTTACCACCTACTTATTACTATTAGATGAGTTTAAACTTGAGATTTGTGTTTACCCGTTACGCAGATCTTGAATTTGAACTCATCCAACGGTGATAAATTGGGTGATAAGCATCACTATTATTTAAGTGTGCTGAGCAAAAATATTCTCTTTGTTGTTCTACACGTGGATAACATGTGATAAATATAACTGAATGTCACATGGAAAATATAAAAGCTTAAGATAAGAGAGAAATTGGCAACAAATTACAAGCTCAAAGGGTAACGCCACAAATACCTGTCCCTAAAATGAGGGAGAGGGAGCTCTTGATATGACAAGGTCTCGTCCTCCCCTTTACACATTTAATCTGTTAACAAAAAGAATAATTACATTCTGCTTGTCTACGAAAAGTTACCAACGACGTTCTTCAACCTACAAGTCCCACATAAGGAATTCAAGGAACTTTCGAATATATTCATTCCAAAAACATCCCTATTATTAAGGAGGCGTCCATATTACAGTAGAAAAGAAACTAATTAGGGAAAATAAAAGCAAAGAAATACATGCATGTATATGACATTCATATTTTACAGGGCAGACAAAATATATTTAGTAGAGCTATGAACCCTAATCAGTTCTTCATCCGCATTCAACATTGCATCTAGTTCCTTGATAAATCTCTCCATCGCCGCGGCCGGTAAACAAACCGGAACCACAATCCCATCTTCCCCTCTATTGTCTCTAGACGGTATGTAAAAGCTAGCGAGTCCAGTTATTAGGCCGACCCCGCCCTTCGCTGGCCCACCATAAGCCGCTTTTCCCCACCCAAAATCCACCTCTCCGAACCCAGCACGGGTCACATCCGACATAAGGTAAGAATTCACCACCGTGAAGTGGGGCCTACCCTTAATAACCATGAGGTCAGCCAACGACCGCATGTATTCCTCCGTCACATCCGCCTTGGCCTTCCTCACCAGCTCCAACGCGTACCCCAATGGGTTGTTGCATAGCCTCCATGCCGTCGTCACCGCCACCGGGAATGCAAACGTGTTGCCGTAATAACCCACCGGCAACGGAGGGTTGAACTTGGACCGCGCGTTCACAACGGACAACAGGCGCACCTCCTCATTTGGGTCTTTCTGGAGCGCGATGGTACGGCAGCGCCAGAGGCAGGCCGTGAGGACCTCGAACGTGGAGCACGTGCTGAGGTACTGCGGGACAAATCTTCGGATGGCGGACACCTCGGTGGGGCGGAAGAAAAAGGACCTGTGGACCATGCCATCAAGTGGGATTATGGTGCCATTGGTGTCTTCCACTTCTTAGTACTCGCGGTGCGTGCATGTCACGCGGGGTGGGTCACGCGCATTGAGCAGCTCCCGCTGCCACACGGGCTGGACGGTGGGGAAAGTTGCGCCGCGAGCTATCTCTCCTACGGCAGTCATGAATTGGACGAGCCCCGCCGCGTCGCTCATGGTGTGGTTAAGACGGAGGGCGAAGACGAAACCACCGCACTGGAGGCGCGTCACCTGTTTATGAATTACGAAGAACGTTGTTTAGTTGAAGGCTACATTGCAAACAAATTATTGTACAAACAGGACAATAATTGTCCCGAGTTGCCTAACTTTATGTACTATTATTATCATATGAAAAAAGACAATAATGTCACTTGATAGCTGTATAAACATGTGATCACATTAATGTCACTTTTGTGTATTCAAATTCCCATCGATGATAACTTAAATATTAGGGGTGTGATATCCACACACCCCATTTTACTTCTCACACACCTTTTTAATTTTCGGTCGTCGGATCGGATGAATTGAAGAAGATCAACAGACAAAAATTATCAAGGGGTGTGTGAGAAGTAAAATAGGGTGTGTGGATAGCACACCCCTAAATATTATTGTAAGTATGTTTGTTTAGAAAGTCAAGATACTCTTTTGGGGAGGAAAAGGATCCGTTCCGCAATCGTGATCATTAATTGTAAATCGTGTGATCAGTTTTCGTTATGTACTATTTATAGTTAATTTTAAATTTTAAATTTTAAAATAATTTATGACCGCACGATGTACAATGAACGGTCACGATCGCGAGATCTCTAGGATCCTCAAGAAAAGGATCCGGCGAGGATCCTTTTCCTTTAGAGAAAGAGATCATCCTTAGATCTCTTCCACCAAAGCCTAAGAATCAAGTGATCCGGACTTTTGAAGTTTGATCCAACGGCTAAAAACAGGAAGACCTAAAAGTTATAATAATTTTAGCCATTTGATCAAATTTCAACCTGGATCACTTGATCCTTGGGCTTTAGAGGGAGAGATCCAGAGAGGATCTCTTTCCTTCCTTTGGAGCTTACATTAAAGATGCCATGTACTCTTTTGGATCATCTAGTTTACTGTTAGTACCATTGTCGAAAGAAACATATGCATGTGATGAACATTGACACTTCAAATTTCTCCATAGATTTTCATCGTGAATGATAGATTGCAACTTTGAAACTTTCTCAAAAAACCATCAAGATTTTTCAATAATGGATGCATGATAGATGACAACGTTGAAAAAAGAGAGAGATGGATTCTTAAATATTATTCCACTACCACTACAATGAAGAGTAATACTGATATTATTAAGCCCATCTTTAAAGAAATATCAAATTATAATTGGTGGCTGACGTGGCAATTTAAAGTCTTGTGTCAAATTTGCTACTTCTCCAACTGAATTGTCAAATAAAATAGATCTTTAAATGGTTATAATTATTAAAAAAAAATGCTAAGACAAAAATTTTATTAGTTGAAATGTTAGTAGAATAAGGGATCCACTATTAAAATTAATTAAAAATAAATTTGACATTAATTTCAAATTTGACTCCTAATCACAAAGTCTTCAAATCCAGTCAACAAATAATACTTCGGTAGGAAAGACTTTTAATGTCAAATATGCACAGTGGCATTCCACTTAGGATTTTGATATCTCATTTGGAGATGTTTTAAAGTAAAAATTGATTAGCCTAGCGCATCGAAATCGAACCCCATAGAAGAAATTAACAGATGTAAGGTAATGTTGAGCGAATTTTGAATTTTTTTAAGACGACTTTTAAGTTTCAGGAGGGCAAAATAGGATTAAAGTTAAGTTTCAAGGGGCAAAATGGAGCGAACTTTGAGTTTCAGATAGTAAAGTGATAACTTTGAATTACAAAGAGTAAAGTGAAATTAAAATTGAGTTCCAATGAGTGTATTAAAAATAAGCCTAAATATTATTCGAAGTACTTTTTTTTGGACATTTTTAAAGTCAAACTTGCGTAATCATATAAAATAGTCAAATTATTACATTTTAAACAAAATTATTACCTATAAATTTTCGTAAAGTCAAACCTACGTAATCAACTTGTTACGCCAGAAGACAATTAAGTCGATATCTAATGAAAGAACTTCGCTGCTGAAAAAATCAGTAGTAGCCTCTACTGATGACCAATTACAACTGAACATGTGTCTAAGTTATGATTGGTCATCAGTAGAGGTTCACAACTTAGACACATGTTCAGTTATGATTGGTCATCAGCAGAGGCTGCTGCTGATTTTTTCAGCAGCCAAGTCTCATTCGATATCTAATTTGCATGAATCCATTTGTACCTTTTATTGTTTTTGGATAAGAAATATTTACAAACTAACCAACTTGCAGTTAAAAACTGAAAGTGTCAAAATAAGGTAATATAAACATAAGTTTTTTTTTGCTGAAATAATAGGAAAGAGAGTAAATTATTGATTTGGTCCCTTAATTAAAATAGAGTGAAAATTAAGTGTTAAATTTCTTTTTTTGGAAAAATAAATTTTTCAACTCATTAAAATTGTCAATCTATCCTTTAAAGTATATCTTATGCAAGTCTCGTGGATTAAATTAATGAAAAATTAGGTATAATAATTTTATATTTAATAATAAGGATGAATATTGTTGTAAACATTCCTAGTTTAAGTATGATTGTGTAAATCCTAGATAAGATTTTATTCTAGTTATCATTTCCTATTACAACTTGTATTACTTGGAGGAGAAGGAATATATTCTCTCCCTTTACTACTATAAATAAAGGCACAATGTAGGAGGGATAACAACACACACATTCCCCTACAATTCTACAAACACACATCTCTCTCCTCTCTCTCTCTGCCGCCGGCCCTAGTCCCTCTGTCAGATAAAATAGACCACAACACGTTATCAGCACGCTCCTACCGCTGCGCTTAGGAATCTGACGTTGGAGATTTTTTTTCTGCATCAAACCAGTTCATCCATATCATCACGCAATCAGGTTCTTTCCAAACAACGGCTTTTAACTCGATATTTTGCAAGCCCTGATAGCATGAACATTCACCATGATGCATGACCCAACTTTATGTTTTACGTATTTTAGATTCTACGTAAATTGTGTATGCTTCATAATCAAAATTGCTACAATTATGTGAATTTGATATTTGTCATGAATTGAATCCTACATATGTACATGCATTGAAACTATTATTTGCATATGCATCAACGTAAATATGTGATTCATTGAAATCCACATGCATATAATTATATTTGAATTAAAAAAATAATAATTTTTTGCGATTGGGATATGAGTTCTTTCGAACCCGTGACCACCATCCTGCAGATGGGGTATCACACGCAAATCAGAGAGCATTCAGCTCTCCTTGTTCCCAGAAACCCACGGAGCCAAGCCCCAAAAACCCAAAATCCCGACACCCTTCATGGTGTCCCCCGATCATGGAGTGGCCTACAGCCACAACCACGAACCTATTGGTTCTTGCTATAAACGACCTGAAGTCGTCCCATGTCGGTAATTGAACCAAGATTCACCGGAATCTCGTCGGAATTTTTTTGAAAAATTCGATTTCAATTTTTTTTTAGGGTTTTATAGTTGTTGAAACGTTGAGATTTTCTTATCTCCGTGATTGTCCACGACAACCATGACTCACCCCAAGTCCCAACAACCCCGACGCCGTCAAAATTTTCCGGTTTTCTTCTTCGGCATTGCACACCCAGCACGGCTGGGATTTCTTTTGGGTCTTTTTCCCGAACCCTACTCGGGCTCTGTCTCTCGGCCCGTGTAACAAAAGAAAAAAAACAATTTTTTTTGCTGGGCTCGCTTGCAGCGGCCCAGCCCACAAAGAAAACAATTTGTTTTTTTTATTTTCCTGGGCTCGCCTGCAACGGCCCATACCGAAAAAAGAGAAATTTTTTTTAAGGCTGCACACAGCAGCCCATTCCCCTCTCACCCCGTGGGCCTGCAGCCTACACCCGGGGGTCCTCGGCCTATATTTTTAGGCCCCGAGATTTTATTATTTAATTTTTTTTTAAATAATATGGGTTTTTATTTTTTCACCCACACTTTAATTTGGCCCCGAAGACCAAAAATAAATTAATTCACTTATCATTATACAATATTTCTGCATATATTCTTTGCATATTTGTTTGCATATATATTTGTGTTTTGCCTGCAGGAATATATGAACCTGAAGTTCATAATTACTTTGAAACCCGAAGTTTCTTATACACATGCCTTGTTTGAAAACCTGAAGTTTTCACTTAAACATATCACCCATGAAAACCCGAAGTTTTTCATGCAAAATTAAACCAATAATACATGTCTATTAGAACCTGTATGTTCTACTCCTATGTGAATGGATTGATTTTTTCTCCATTACACTAACCACATCGTGTCCATCTATTTTGTGATAGGAACATGTCGAACTTGAACAAACTCGACTTCACCGCTTTGGAGGTTTCTGGAAGGAACTACCTCAAGTGGGTTCAAGATGTGAAGCTCCACCTCACTGCAAAGAACTTGCGTCCTGCTATTGAAAAAAGCAACAGATAAACCTGTTGGCGAGGCTGAAAAAGCCACTGCTATGATCTTCATCCGAAGACATATCCATGACGCTCTACAAACTGAGTACCTTGCTGAGGAGGATCCACGTGCATTATGGGTCGCTTTGGCTGATCGTTTCGATCACCAAAAGGACATATTCTTGCCTGAAGCAAGACACGACTGGCAGCACTTGCGCTTCCAAGACTTTAAGTCTGTGAATGAATATAATTCTGAAGTTTGTCGAATCCGATCACTTCTCAAGTTTTGCAATGAAACTTTGACTGAAGAGGATCTCCTGGAGAAGACCTACTCGACCTTCTCTGCTTCTAATATTGTCCTGCAGCAACAATATAGAGCTCAGAAGTTCACTAAGTTCTCGGATTTGATCTCTGTTTTACTTCTTGCTGAAAAGCAGAACCAGCTGTTGATGAAGAATCATCAAGCTCGACCTACTGGGGCTACTGCTGTGCCTGAAGCACATTATAGCACTAATCAGCACCCAAAACGCCAAAAGAGGCGTGGTAAGGGCGGCCAAAAGCCATCCCACCAAGGTCAACAGAGCCAAGGCCCATCCAAGGGAGGAAACAAAGCCCAGAAGCGCCCCAAACCTCGCTCCCAAGGCCCCGAACTTCAAGAATAAGGGCAAAGCACCCTGCCACAATGAATGAC